TAACTTTGAAGGCTCAATCAGTTGCAAAGCTTGATTACCTGTGGGTGTACCTCAAGCTTCCAGAACTCCCAGCAGTCTACTCATTATGAGTCACCCTTCAATGCATTAGCTTTAAATGAGCCAGATGTGTTGAAATATTTAAATCCTTAGTTAAGCCCTGGGGATTTCAGAGATATTCTCCTATCTGTAATATATTTGCCTATCTTACTAAAGATACAGAGTTATGTGCACACATTGAAGGCACAGGAGTTTCTACAAAGTGCTTTAAAATAGACACGTTTTCATTAAATACATGTCCTTTCTGGATAACACGTTAAAAAGTAAATGCAAAGTATTTAGCCTGACATTTGAAATTGTTAGGGTTTATAAAGGCATTTTCTCAGTAGAAAGTTTATGAGTACCTTGAGCTTTGGAACATACGAAAACATGATAAAAATTCCATCACCTACCCATAGCAACATTACTCCTCATTGAGTAATTAATTTAGACATTAGCTTATGTCTCTTTGAGGACGTAAACTAATGCAACATGTTTTCTACTTGTTTTACTACTTGCAGCACTATCCCATTTTCTGGGATTACAGTAAGATCGTAAGCCTCAATTAGCTGAACAAAATGCACCACTTCATTCCATTTCAAAGATGATTAATCTAACAAGACAGCAAAGTAAACTAGGTGTAAAGAAATACAGACCAAATCCAAGCAAAGCAAAAGGATATTCACTGTGTAACTCTATGGCTTTTCTAGGAAATGAATTATCAGTGCCACTATGAGTCAAGATGTTGTTATATAGGGTACACTAACAAACTGGGCTTCTACTTTTTCATCTTACCATTTTAGTAAGATGACAATACCTTCAGCATGAGCAGACGTGATACTGTAAGGCACTCTGCTGTTTCAATTCCAAATGCTTTAATACTATGATTAACTGGGAACTGTACATACTATTTGCTGTTTAACATCCCTTGAAATAATGTCATTCTGGCTTTGGCCAAACACGTTCTCTGCATTCATGGCCAAACAACCCATCCACAGACACATTTTTTTCTTTTTATTCTAGATGCCAGTTTAAGTCCTGTCCACTTACCACAGTAACTGCACCAAATAAAAAGTCTACACTCCTTCCCACCATAAAAAATACCCAACAACCCCAAAACCCTTAGTCAAACTATTACAGCATATACTGTATTCACTCACACCTGTAAGAAAATATTCAAGATGCTGATAAAAAAGCTTCTACTTTCAAACTACTGCCTCATTACAAAATACGATCTATTGGTTTTTTAGCTGGTTCTCGTAAGCACATTAGGCCTTCCAGCAGGAAGCTTTTGTTTTGACTGACTAAAATCTGTTCCTCTGGTTACTAAGTGGATACCTGGGTCTGGCTCCAACACCAAAGACAGATAATCCACTTACCAGTAGTTGATATCTGGTGTATTTAAAAGCGACGGTACATCTTCCACAATGCTCAAAGTAGTTACAGATACTTTTGACAAAAATACCTATAATAAAGGTAATTTAATATAGTGAAGGGCAACTGCACAGTTCAATGGCACGGCCATCAAGGCTTTTATTTAAGCAGCATTCAGGAAGGTCAGTGCTTATTTTTTTATATACAGCAATTTAATAACTGTAAATACCCTTTTCAGTTCTGAAACTCAAGCAAGGCCTCTAGAAGATTAACTGTAGCCTAAGGCTTCACTGAAATTATATGCACATTGTACACCCCAGTGAAGCAGGATTGCAGGTATGTCATTTTCAACAGAACTGACTATTGATATGATTTGAGTTTCCTTTATGGTATCAAAAATAAAAGAAAGCATTACTAGATGAATATTTACTAGCTAATATACATATACTGCATATACACAGTGGAATACTTTCATCCCAAAATGTATTTTGAAAATATTCCAGATCATATAACATAGCCAGTTCAGTACTGTATAAAAATACCTCATCAGCCAGATATCAGTGTCTACATATAAACTCCAAGACTCATTCTCCTCTGCAAATGTGAACTCTAGTCTGCTTTTACACAGAATTCTCTGCACCGATTCCCTTGATCACAACCGCCTATGAAACAATGCTACTGTCAAAAAGAACAGAAACCAGTCAATTGTAGCCAGAACTGAACACGCAAGATGGGATTTTTACTTCTCTGCAGAACACGTAGCTGAACTTATTACTTACCAGAATGGAAAACTTCCTTCAAAGTTTGTGTTAAGTGAAGCAAAACCAGCAAGACTCAAAAAGTGAAGTATGCTGACGCTTAGCAGAAAATTCTAGAGACCTTACATGTCAACTGGTCCCCGCTATAAGCCTCAGGCCATGTATGCCATGGCAGTACTTGGCACAACAGCTTTTGCTGACTCGTATTCAAGTGTCCTTTCAGAAAATCAGCTGTTACGCCAATAAACGGTTGAGTTCAACAGAAGCACAGGTATTTTCACCTTTCTTTTTACTCCCAGACTCTGTATGTTCCAACATCCATTAAAAGAAACTACAAGAACAACTTTTATGAGACTACCTCCAAACTTAGTTTTTATTAATGTTATAAGGGCTGAATTTCTGCATGCTTCAGCTGAAAAGTGAAAGGTAATTTATCAGCTGCTTTCAATCTGGAAGCTAATGGAATCAGTTCTTCCGGTGAAGAAGGTTAACCAAATTCTTCTATATTATTCTCCTCTCCCTACATAGGAAGATTTTAAACCTTTTAATTTTGAGTGAACAAAGTGTAAAATCATCTTACAAAGAAAATTAGTTTTGTAAGCAGATTTACATTTTCAGCACCATCTGCTCTCTTATATGACCCACTGCTTTAAACTAAGGGACTGAAACATTTCTCAGGACTACACTGCTGCAGTGCAATTCCGAAATTTGCAATAAGCTGTCTGCATGCAAGTTGTCTTATTCCATTCCCATACAACATTTAGACAGTTTTCCCAAAGCAAATCACAAACATATTCTTAATAAAGTTCGTATTTTTTTTAAATTAAAATAAAATTGCAAAATCGCATTCAGCAGAACTTGTCTTTCAGTAAAACATGAAATCTAAAGTCATTTTCTAGGAAGATAACAACGTCCACATATATCTGAAAACACTGAATTGAACTGAAATTGAAAATTATTTTACAAAGCCATGCAAGAATTTGTGCCTGTGGAACTTGACGTAAGTTACAACATCACAGGAAAATGAACGTATAAAACTGATTATAATTAATGAAATTAAATTTAAATCAAATGCTTTCATTATATACAAGAAAGTTATTTTCCCACTTTTTTTTAATATTGCAATAAAAAATAAACGGGAAAGAACACAAAGGACCACCATCATAGTGCTAAAAAGCAAAGTCTGACGCAATTCAAAGCAAGAACTAAGCAAGGAAATAAACTTTCATTATTAACTAGACAGTGCCTTTAACCAAGCCTGCTAGGAAAAACCTTCCTTACTCAAATGTTCATGTTTCTTCAGCGATCAAAGTCCCACCTCTGAAGCCATGATGGATAACTACCTTAATTTCCCTTTCCCCCACATCTCCTCTGAAAGATGGAGAACAAATCCCATTCACGGTGCCATTTCCATAGAAGCACTGGCCCTATGCATTGCAAGTGAACTCTGCAGAAAAAGGAATAGGGAAGAGCAAAGAAAGGAAGAGAGGTCTCTCTGGGTCCCAGCAGGACTTGCACTATAGCATCGGCATCCATGACTCCACCTTCTGTGCAAGAGTGCCAGCTGACTGCCCAGGCAGGTAAAATAGCCAACAGGTAACAATTCTTCTCTTAGACAGAAAAAAGTCCTTTATTATTATTTCTAAATGAAGTAAGATATCTTGTGGCAATGAAAATAATAGCAAAAATCCTCAACAGCAGTATGGTATTGACTGCTGCTGTAGTAAACATCATACTGGATGTTTAAAAGGCAACAAACTAAGGCCAAGCTACCCCTCTCCCCTAAGCCCTTATGGTACCAGTACCATAGAAGCGACTTTAAGAGAAGAGTGCCTACTAGCCTGTACCACCCCTAAATACTTTTTCTTTAGAAAGTAAAATAAAAGCATAGGTAGGGCTTTTTTTTCTTACATCAACTAGAACCAACCTGTATTCTGAATATAAAAAAAGCAAAAAGTATTTGCTTCTCTCTGAAATCCTTTAGGTACCCTACAAAAGCATTGAGAATGTGCTTAGATAATCTTCCAGGAAAGTCATATGAACTTAAGGATTTGTGAAACACTCATCATACATTGAGAAACTTGGTAATGACATCTGAACCAATTGATATAAACTTTGCAACACAAAGATTCATTTGCTAGTATTCCTTAATTTGGTTCTCACACATTTAGTGGTCTCCCCCCTCTGATTTCGGTAACTATCTATCTACTGGTCTTTACGAACCAGAAGAAGAGAAGGGACTGCAGGGAAATAAGCACTTTCTAAGTAATCATCTTTGCCAGGCACTGCATTTCATAAATAAATAAATAAATAAATTTAGTGAAGCACAGAATAGAAAAGTAGAGAAAAATATTTCCTCAAAGATGCCAAAAAACATTTCTTTTTTTTTTTAACCAATGAAATAATATCTCTTTAGGTTCAATTTCCATAGATCCTGAACTCTGGCTTGCTTTATCTTCCATAAACCTAAGCCGAATACTTGCCAGCTTCAGAGTTGCCAAAGCACACTTTGCAATAGCCTACTGAAAAATCATTTTATCATTAAACAAAAAAATTAAGTTAGCACAAAAAGGATCAATCATTGAATTGCAAATAATCCGTCAGGAGATCGGTATTTTTTCATCCCTCCCAAACCACTAAATAGTTGTGACTTCCAAAAGCAATCCTTGGACTGGTATCAAAATTGGCTTGTTGACTGAACTATGCATACATGAAAGCAAAATCAGGACAAAAAGAATTTTGTGAAAACCAGCATTAGAGGAAACATTTTTCGTAACCATTTAATACAAATTTGTCACAAGAGCATAATTGCAAGCAAAAAATGTAATTTACCTATAACTACATCATGGCCATCAACCAGGCCTGCTGAGAACAGCTCCTGAGAAACGCCATCTGCTGTGTCTGTCCAAAAGGTGAAATGAGTAAGTATGAGACCCCACAAAAACAACACAAAGTATCAGTCATCCAATGCATTTTAACAAAAATACATTTTAGTTCCAAAACACCCATGGAGGCATGCTTGAATTCAGAATTACCTTTAATTAGGAGGAAAAAAAGATAATTATCTTATCAGCCTCTGCACAGCAAATTGCATGAGGTGATGATCTGATTCATTGCAAACCCCCTACAGACCTTTCCTAGCCACCAGCATTTCTCCTCTATTATCTAGCTATGTACTCCTACATAGTTTACAAGTTCAGTATCTTCACAACCAAGAATATAAACTATGTTTTAGTGTGGTTTTCACTGTTTTCTTTATCCTCTCCATTGTTCTGAACATCTATACAGAGATACGCTATATAAACGTTCTTGTTTGTTACCAGTGGGACAAAGGAGTTATGGGAACAGTCATTATTTAGAGCTTTAGGCTTAAATGAGATTTTAAGTACTGTGATGAGGGAAATTCAGAGGTTTGGATTCATTTTCCAGCAAGTGCTATACCAAAGTGGGTTAATTACCAAGTCCCTGTGACTAGAACTTGCTCTTGGATCGAGACTTTAGAAGGTTTGGAGGTAAGTAGGAGAAAACAGCAGGAACTAGCCTAAATTCCATCTAAGTCTCAACTATAACATGGCCTCAATACCAAATATCTGCATTGAGCACATGCTTCAAGACAGTTACATTATTTCCTTAAGAAACACACACAGGTGAAAAACAATACAGCTGAGCTAGCTGCAATTTCTGGAGAGCTCTGAAGATGACAATCACAGCTGCCTTCTGACTGGCTTAGTGACTACTAGAAAGAGTCCTGGTATGGCATATCCTCTATTTTTTGGCCAACTAAGAATTCTCAATGGTTTATGTAAGTGCTTAGAAATAAATAGTTCTTTTGACAAGTGACTAAAGCAGGATGGTCTCTGCCCAATTAAGGAAGAGATCTTTCACATTATTACCCATTGTCAAAATCAATGAGAAATGCAGGTGGACAGCAGAGACTATTTCCATGCACGGAAATACTGCACACAAAAGATACCATGATTTACAGGAAATGAGAAATCCCTTCAGTCTAGATTAATTTTTTTAGGTGGAAGCTCTTCGAAGGCTATTCTTAAATGTAGTAATTACTGACTGCTGAAAACCATGGAATGTGTTCATAGTTTAAACTGTTGCTATTAAACAAGAATGATACCTTCTTACTCAAGATATCAGCCTCCTGTGCATTTTTTCCCAACAATTGATTTTCTTCAAACAAAAGTAACTTTATAAGTTATTAGAACTCCCAGCGCTGGAAAGCAAATATGCTCCTACAAGCCTGCAGTAGTTTAAAGTTTCAATGTAAAAATTTCTTTCTGGTGATGATACCGAAGCTACAGACGAAACAACTTTCAGTTGAAGACAGCACTGTTAACAGAACTTCTTTTATTACGCAGGAGAAAGAAGCTTAAGTATTATCACCATCACCCATACACTTTCATGGCTACTATATTCTGCCTCCTACGATGTTTTCCACATGTGAAAATGGAAATTCCAAAGCTGTAAGTATTGCTATTCACAATCTATATATACCACACAGATCATTTCAGTAAGACATGAAATTGACAAAGTATACTGGGGATCAAGTCTAATATATACTATGTATTATGCAACCTTGCCACTAGAATTTACAAACATCTGCTATTCTTGTTCAGCTGAAGTTCAGTATAAAGCTCTGCAGTGTAGGAAATAATCCAGAGAGAGAGTTAGTATTAAGCATAAACAGTAAGCAATTTCTGAAATATGTTTTTGAGCAATGAGAGAATAATTCAACTGAAGGAGCCTTACCTCTGCCTGGAGTAAACTCAAACCGTATGTCATTAAGTTCTTTCCTGGAGTTCCTGGAAAACATTGAGTGTATACATTAAAATGTAATGAAGACAGAACAACTATTCAGTTCCTAAACCTGAAGAACACCTGTGCCACTGATAACCCCATTTTTCTAGTGTGAATTTCCTCAACTTGAAAAACACTGCTCTCCAAAAATGCCCACACTGGAGAAACTCCACCACATTTTCATGGCAGTATTCTGGGAAAAGAAACTAACAGAAAGATATGCTTAAGCTGAGAAATACCTATGTTAACCTAAAGGATAAAATAAGATCCTCTGGTAAATATTTTCCTTTCCATCTTTAAAAGACACTCTACCATACTGACCCTGCTAGTTCAACATAGTCTGAAATCGTACGTGTTACCTCTTCTTCTCCAAGAGTATTCACTTGGACTTAAAACTCCCCATCTGAGATCACATTTACACAAGACATGCTCATTTAAGAGAAAAAGTATCTAGCAAACATTACATGCTAAAAAGCAGCATTTGATGCACAGTGCTTATAAAGCTGTTTTGAAATGAGGAACTTATTGCAGTGACCACCATTGTCTCAGCAGTGAGGCTCTAGCTACACATAAAATAAGCAGCAGAGTGTGAAAGCCAAAGGTTTCCATCCTTCCTGTTTGAAGATTGCTTTAACCAGTTCAGTGTATGACACTCTCATAAGGGACTTAATGCCTATATTAAAGAATTCCTTTACAGTCTCATACCGTGCTCCAAACTGCCATTCCTTGTATGTTTCCAGCTTATTTTAGTTAATAATTTCTACCATCAATAAAACATTAGCCTCTTTGCAAAATAGACGTCCATCTCATTTTGGAAATGGCAAGCCTACCGAGCATAGGGATGAACTTAATTGCTGTAGCACACTCTTTTTCCAGTGAATAGCTCAATCCACTTGAAAAGCTAATAGCAACAGAATGTGTTTTGCATGCCATTATTCTTCTCCTCAGCAAGGAAACTGTATGCAAGCTCATATTTCAGCGTACCAGGCCATGAAGTCTTGCTGTGGGAAAACTAAATCCAATAGGCAGGCATACTCGGCTGTGACATACAGCTATTATCACTTGCTAAATACTTATAAGAATATTACAGTCAAAAACTGGCAACATGCAGGAACACAAAAACCAAAATGACTGGCAACACAGACAAAGGCAAGACAGCAAACCCTGAAAAATAAATGTGCCACATGCAGGGCATAAAATGACAAGTACTCATTTACTGAATACACTGAATGCTTCAAAGCTGAAGGAGTTTTGGGTTCCTAAAATTCTACTCTAAATAAAGAATTATGGGAGTTTAGAATCACTAATACAAAGTTGCAAATAATGCAACTAGCCAGAACAGATTTACGAGGTTCATTTACTTTTGCTACAGAAATCTGCTGCCATTATATGGAATATTGCACTGTCTATTTTTATCCAACACAGAATTAGCATGGATCTCAGTTCTTTCTTCTCCCCCACTAAAAAACCTGGATAGTTTTCTGTCTAAATAAAAAACCATATGCCAATCCACTTCCCTCTGTTGAAATTAATAAGCTTGCTAAAACTGCTGCTTTCTAAAAAAGGGAAGTTGCACAGAAATTTAGCATTTTTCTTAACATATGTTTTGACTGGACATGGAATGCAGCTCAGACTTAGACACTGATTTCCTGCACACTCTTTTGAAGGCAAATGCTAAAACCAGCTGAGAAGCAATTCTGTAGACTTTGCACTCTTACAGTTAATTACCTAGAAAGTAATAAATTAGGGTCTCAGACTGTATCTTTCCGCAGACCTCCCGTAAGTAGGACATCCACCATAAAAATGGCACTCTCATGAAAATTACCACCTTTCCAACAGACTGATAGAGCTACGTGAAAGACCAGCTGTTCACGATACAGACTCATCAAGAAGCACGCAAATGGGGTGCATTTTACTTTGTCTCCAAATTGCGGAATGTCCCTAACAGAAAATTAATGAGTCAGATCTCTTTATTTAAGCAAAGGTGAAAATTCAGGGAAAGCTGATATGTATTCAGCCATCCAACTCTGGATGGCTATCTGGAATTGTTACACTCTGAACTATTCTGAACTTAGGACTCTGCTGCTTTCCTTTTAATGGTATACTATAATTCAGGAAAGCAAAACAAAAGAAGTCCAGCAAGAGTAATTTGCTAGAAGCCTGTAAGTGCTTTTGCTTACAGTTCCATTACCTTCCAGACATTTATTTCCATCAATTATTTATTCCATTATATATTCTACCAAATAGAAGATGTACTTGAGCTATTTCCTAAAAGCTGCGCATACTCTTCTCCAGTCTTCCAATACTTCTTTGGTTCTAGTTAGTGTCATTGTTACTGTAAATTAGTTTACTAGTTCCCTTGATACACTTTGGTGACAACTGTTTGGATTCGTTGACTTATTTGCAGGCAGAGCTTCCAAGCAGCATTTCATTTGTTCCATTGGAGTTCTCTTTTTTCTTAGCTCCATTACACTCTTACCATGCAGCAGCACACACAGGCTTTACTTCTACTAAATAGAAACAGGATTTCAAGAAAGGCACTTATCTTTGTGATTAATAATTTTATCTTCATCATTTCTTAATGGCCCCTAGTTTCTCTAATGCATTTGTGAAAAAGATATTAATTTTAAAGTGCAAACTCAATTTTTTGCCATCTCTTATAATACCTCTTATTTTCTTCTTGTTCTACGCCATTGCAGACTAATATACCTGGATTATCATGGATAAAAACAGCCCATCTCCTTTAAAAAGTAGTAAATTTTGAATACTTTCTTGCATTTTAGTACACTGTAGTTTACTGATTTCCTGGAGGTTGCTTTTCATCATGCAGTCACCTCCAACAGTAGGAATGCTACAGAACTGCTCTGAACAAGGTCAATACCAAAGCAGAACATGCTAAGATGTTTAGCAGCCGTCTTTCTTGCAAAGTAACTTCAGAATTTAAAATGTCACACTTTCTGAAAGCATATTTTGCAAATTCTCACTATTCTTCTGTTTTCATCAGGACCACTTGATGTGCGCAATACAATTGCTAGGTCTGATTTTCTAGGGAGTAATGCTACCTCAAAGAACTAGAAAAAAAACATGGGCCAACTTCATCACTGTCGTGGTTTAAACCCAGTCAGGTAATTCGTTCGCTCACTTCCCCCACCTTTCTTGCCCTCCCCCTGCTCTCGGAGGGACGGAGAGGAGAATCGAAAAGAATGCAACTCCCACGGGTTGAGATAAGAACAGTTTAGTAACTAAGGTATAACACAAACCACTACTGCTACCACCAACAGTAACAATGATAAAGGAAATAACAAGGGAAGAGAATACAACACCTCAGCACCAGCCGACCGATAACTTGCCCCCCCTCAGCCCGACCAAGCACTGACCGATACCTCCTCCAACCCTGCAGTCTCCCAGCCCTTCCGGCTAACTCCCAGTTACATCCTGGGCATGACGTGCTGTGGCATGGAATACCTCTTTGGTCAGTTTGGGTCAGGTGTCCTGTCTCTGCTTCCTCCTGGCTTCCCCTCCTCCCTGGCAGAGCATGAGGCTCACAAAGTCCTTGGCCAAACCAAAACATCACTATCAGCTCTGTTCCCGAGCTGAAAGTCAAAACACTGCACTGCACCAGCTACCAAGAAGGGGAAAAATGACTGCTACTGCTGAACCCAGGACAATCACTTATCCCCCTGTCTACAAACTGAGACCATCCTGTCAGTAGGATATGAAATGAAGATGCTCTGTTTTAAAGGAACCAGACTTCAGGTTTTTGCATTTAAAAACAAAGTCTGTCAAATAATTACCTTACAATAGCATAATTCCTGCTATAGTCAATTAGCTGTGTTCCATACGCTTGACAAAAGATCTACATTGTTGAACTAAAATAGGAAACCGTGGTTGTGTAATGGTGCAACTGTAAATTGGACACATTAAACACCATTATTTCTTTTGTCCTTAAACACAGAATGTCTATCATATGAGTGAGATTCAAGGAAATTAGATGTCTTGGAATTAAACTTAACATGTAAATCATACTGGGATAGCTTGATTATACATCAAGCAGCAGATTCTCATTCTTTTTTACTACTACTTCCCCTCCTCTGCTCCCCCTTCCCTATTTATCCACCACTTATCATGCAGAATTATCCAAAACATTAGCTTCTATTTCCCACAATCTTCAGCAACTTCTATGTGGTTCTTAGGGAGAGTGTATTCCTCGATGGGATGCATCTTACCATACCTAAGTAGCCACATATTCTTCCTTCCCAAAGGAAGAAAAAAATTCTCAAATAAGGTAAGCCAAAAGAAGGGCATGGGCATGTGTGTAAGAACACACAGGTTTTGTCTCTGCATTGCTTGCTGATTTTTCAGGTACTCAGTCATCACATGTGGCTTACAAGGACTGATATACAGAGCTGAATGTCAAAGAATGCAGGTGATAACAGAATGATAATTGACAAAGCTGATTTGTGAAACAATACAGAGCACATGTACATCATAGGGAAACTACATCATTTATGGCTTTTTATTAGTCACAGCAGATGCAAAACTTCCTGATTTTCTTCATTATCTTTTTTTTCAGATAGAGTTAGAAACCATAAATCACAGGCACGTCCCCATCACATTTACAGGCTGGGCGGAGAATGGACTAAGAACAGCCCTGAGGTGAAGACTTGGGGAAGTTGCTGGATGACAAACTGAACATGATCCAGCAATGTGCACTTGCAACTCATAAAGCCAACCGTATCCTGGCCTACAGATCAGGAGGTCAAGAGAAGTGATTCTGCCTCTCTATTCTGCTCTCACGTGACCCCACCTGAAGTACTGCATTCAGCTCTGGAGCCCCCAGCACAAGAAGGATGCGGACCTGCTGAAGCAAACCAGAGGAGGACCAAGAAGGGCTGGAGTACATCTCCAGTGAAGACAGGCTGAGTGAGTTGGGATAGTTCAGTCTGGAGAAGAGAAAGCTCCAGGGACACCTTACAACAGCCTTCTGGTACCTAAAGGGTGCCTA